CAAGTCAGGGGGTGTAGGAGCCCTGCGTTTTCCAGGGTGTTAAGTTCTAGCGACGAAGTCGTATGCCCAAGCCTTGAAACCCTACTGGAACCCCGATAACTCTGCAGCTCTCTGGTGGGAACTTAGGGACCTTAACAACAACCTTAAGCCTCAAACCCTCAACACTCTAATGCAGCCCTAAACATCCCTAACCTCATCAAGCCTAACCGGCCCAAACCCTAAACCCTAAACCTTCCAAAACTTTGCTTCTTCCTGAAGGAGCCGGGGAAATCCGGCAGTCGGCCCCTCCGGGTCCTGGGACCCGCGCTGGGCCGAAATCCAGCAGGCTTGTTGAAACGCCTGCGTCGGGTTTAGGGTTTAGGGTTTAGAGTCTTGGGTTGAATGCCCGGGCGTTTCCGGGAATTCAATCTTACTTCGCCTTTAGACTACCCTTTCCCATGCCCAAACAGCATAGAACAAGGCAAGAGTGTTTATGGGCTTTAGATGGCTTTGGACTTTCACAGACAGCTCGAGCATGCTTGCGGCCAAGATCCAGGCCCCAAAGCCTACAAAACCCGAAAACCAGAACCCAGAAACTACATCGTAAGTTTTCGGTGGGGCGGAGGGGGCTGGTAGGCTTTGGGGGGGTTGGACTTGTTAATTAGGGCTAGCGAAATTAAGGGTATCCGGTTGTTTCAACCAGGGAGACCCCAAACGAGAAGGATGAACTGCTCAGTACAAGGACACTGGCGCACACTATAGCACTTGTGCTAGTCTGCTAGTACTTCAGACTTCTTGGACTGCGATGCCCTCGTAATGCCCGACATTAAACCTGATGAAACCGGGACGATCCTCTACAACACTATCAGAGCCCTCTGCCAAATCTTTGCTAAAGCCGGGAATACACCGCAAAAAGCAAAAGCACGTATAAACCTTCTGAAAGCTCTATATTATATGGTCATGGCCTGGACGACTTTTCACTCAACCCAAAGCCCCCCCAAAAGAACCTTAGACCCCTAACTGCCCTAACTTGAACAACCTCAAAAAAAA